CCTAAACCCTAAACCCTGACGTAGGCGTGGCAGAAGAGGCACGCAGCAGCAAGGACGAAGTTGGCGTGGAGGTCTTCCTGGGGGTCGAAGCAAATGGGAGAAGGAGTTCTTTTTGGCGGAGTCCAAAAGGGAAGTCCTGCTGCAGTTCGGTGGTTTGGCGGGAAGGCCGCGAGCAGCTGCTGAATCTGCAAATTAAATAAATTGTGAAACAACAAAACGGCGCTTTCCACGCACTCCCGCACGCCCGGCGCTGTCCGTACACCCCGAGGTGTACGTACACCCGGAGCTGCCTGTACACCCTGCGGTGTACGTACACCCGGAGAGGCCGCGTACACGCCCACGGTTTCCAGCAGCTGCTCCAGCCGCTGCTGCTGCGAAGAAGGGCCGCCCTCTGCGAACGCAAACCCTAAACCCTAAACCCTAAACCCTAGGCCCTAGACGCGCTTCGGGCGCCGTGCGTGCGCCGCCGCCGCGAGACCCAGGCCCGGGCCCCGAAACCATCAACTAGGGTTTAGGGTTTGGGGCTTGGCGGTTCCGCACTGGCGACTCGCAGCGTCCACGTGGGGGCTGCGACTCTAAAAAGCTAGGGTTTAGGGTTTAGGGTTTAGTAGGGCTTGGGCAGGCCTGGGGAGCGCCGCGAGGGCTCGCCTCGCTCGCACGCGTTTAGGGTTTAGGGTTTAGGGTTTGCCTGAAAGGACTTGGTCCAAAAACCCTTCAGGGTTTGCAGCAAATTGAGCAGCTTCGGCCATTCTATCCGAAAATAAACCCTGGAAAAGATCTCGAGCCCATTCTGCAAACAAATTAATTTCAAAATTTCAATTTTTAAAATTTAATTTATTCTTATTATTTAATTATACTAATTGATTAATTAATAAATAATAATAAATAAATAATAATAATAAATATTAAACACATGACTAATAAAATCTAAGAATTAAAAAGGATGAAATAAAAGGAAAAAAAGGAAATAAAAAGGAAATAAAAAGGGAAATAAAAATGGAAATAAAAAGAGACAAAAGAGAAACAACAGTAAAATAAAAAGAGACAAAAATGATGTAAAAAGGATTTAAAAAAGGAATTAAAGGGAATTAAAAAGGGAATAAAAGAGGTAAAACAAGAAATAAAAAAGAAATAAAAAAGGAATAAAAAAGGAATAAAAAGAAATAAAGAAATAAAAGAAGATAGAAAGAAATAAAAAGCAGTAAAAAGAAACAAAAAGGAATAAAAAGATATAAAAAGAAATAAAAGGAGCTAAAAAGGAAATTAAAAAAAGGAAAAAAAAGAAAACCAAAAAGGCCTCAAAAGCACCAAAGCAAGAAAAGTTGAAAAGCGCCCTTGTTCCCAAAAGGCGGAAAGTGTCCAAAAAAGTGCCGAAAAAGTTTCAAAAAGAGCTGAAAAGAGGAAATTGAAAAGCAAGTTGCGAAGAATTCAAAAAGAACAACAAAAGAAGCGCAAAGTGGGAAAAAAAGGAGAAAAAAGGAGCCCAAAAAAGCAAAAAAAGAGAAAGAAATACCAATTGTGTGCTCTATAGTGTGCGGAAAGTGCCGCAGTGTGCACAACGGGATCGACTCCTCCGGGGGATCGACAGAGTCCGAATAGCACTGCGTCAAAAACGGCACCACCACCTGCAGCAGCAGCAGCAGCAGCAGCAACAGCAGCAGCAGTTGTGGAAGCAGCAGCAGCAGTTGCGGCAGCAGCAGCAGCAGTTGTGGCAGCAGCAGCAGCAGTTGTGGCAGCAGCAGCAGCAGTTGTGGCAGCAGCAGCAGCAGTTGTGGCAGCAGCAGTTGTGGCAGCAGCAGCAGCAGCAGTTGTGGCAGCAGCAGCAGCAGCAGTTGTGGCAGCAGCAGCAGCAGCAGTTGTGGCAGCAGCAGCAGCAGCAGTTGCGATACAGCAGTAGTAGTCAACAAAGAAATAAACAAACAAATAAAATAAACAAACAATAAACAAATAAACTAAGTAAATAAATAAAATCTATAAATAAATTAAATAATAAATAAAATAAATAAATAAATAAAAGACAAACCTGGACATTGCCTTTGGTGCCCAAAGTGCCGCTCTCGAGTAAGGGTTTTGTGAAAGTCACACAGCGAGAATCCACGTACTGCCGGGCCTGCAAAAACCCTACAAAAGGGTTTAGGGTTTAGGGTTTTGGCCTGCGCTTCGGGGCCTCTTCTTGGGGGGACTAGGGTTTCGGGGTCAGAGTCTATGGCTCGGGAGATAGGTTTTGGGGTTTAGGGTTTAGGGTTTGCTGCACGCATGCTCGTTAGGGTTTAGGGTTTAGCGTTTGCTGCGCGCGCGCTAACTAGGGTTTAGGGTTTAGGGTTTAGGGCGTGGGGCGCATCCTGCGCCGCGCGCCGGCTGCAGGCCCTTCGGGCCACTGAGGCCCTAGGACTTAGGGTTTAGGGTTTAGGGTTTAGGGTTTAGAACCTGGATATTGTCCAAGGCGTTAATTATAATATCTTGAGACCTCCAAAAACTCTCTGTGAAAATTTCTGCTTCTGTTTCTGGGCCCACGCGGGCCTCCAGGGCCACCACCTAAATAAATAAATAAATAAACTAATTAATCAATTAATTAATTAAAAATAAATAAACAAACTGATAGGAGTTAAAAGTAAATAAAGGAGAGGGGAAGGAACGGGGGAATCAGAGAGAAAAACGAGAAAAAAAGAAATGCAGCAGCAGCAGCAGCAGCAGCAGCAGCAGCAGCGTGAAAAGGAAGGGCACCCACAGCAGCAGCAGAATCAGCAAAGCAGCAGCACATTTTGGAATTATATGAAGCTGCCTCGGCCCTAGGAACAGCTTCAGCAGCAGCAGCAGCAGCACCTAGCAGCAGCAGCATCAGGAGCAAGAGCAACACAAGCAGCAGCAGCAACAGCAGCACTAGCAGCAGCAGCAGCACTACAAGCACCACAATCAGCAGCAGCCCACGCCAAGCTTTGCGCCCACGAACCGCTGCTTACAGTAGCAGCAACAGAAGCACTAGCAGCAGCAGCAGCAACAGCAGCAGCAGCAGCAGCTCACATTAAGTTTCGGGTTCATGATTCTCGCTGCTTTTGCTGCGCAGCTGCT